ACTATGAACAATCAAAGGGATATGTTTTCATAGGTGAAAACGAAGATGGAACGGTGATTGAAATAGAATCAAGGGATGTAACATTCATTGAGACTGAATTTCCTAATAGAGGAGATATTGACCGCACTGTTTCTCTTTATGAGACACAAGAACAAGACAGTGCAGAACAAATTGACAAACTAGAATCGTCTAGGTGTGTCAATCTGAGTAGGAGCAAAGAAAGGTCAACACCAAGACCTGAACAAACAAAGAAAGAAAAGTAAATAGCTCCTGTCAGAAGGAGTAACAGGGAAAGTATTCCCAAAAAACGCTTTCAAATTGAAGGCGAATCTTTCTTAGTTACTCCAGGAGGGGATAATAAGCCCCGTTCTGTACAAGAAGCCTTGTCAAGACCTGCCAAGGATGAATGGATGAAAGCTATGGAAGAAGAAATGGACTCAATGAAAAAGAACCAAGTTTGGGTGTTAGTTGATCTTCGAAAAGGGCGTAAAGACATTAGGAACAAGTGGGTTCTCAAGATTAAAAGAAAAGTGGATGGATCAATTGACAAATACAAGGCTCAATTAGTGGCAAAGGGGTACACACAACAGGAAGGCATAGATTATGAAGATACGTTCTCACCTATTGTGTGTTTCAACTCTATTAGACTTATTTTGGCAATAGTAAACAGTTTAGACCTAGAATTACATCAGGTGGATGTAAAAACCGCATTCCTAAAGGGTGATCTAGATGAAGAAATCTATATGGAACAACCATTAGGTTTCATCAAAAAGGAAAGGGAAAAAAGTTTGTAAACTCAAAAGGTCTATTTATGGATTGAAACAATTATCCAAGCAGTGGTATTTGAGGTTTCACAAAGCAATAACCTCATATGACTTCCAGATGATAGAGGAAGAACACGGCGTCTACATTAAGTAGTTTGAGGGTAATTTTGTCATATTATCCTTATATGTAGATGATATACTATTAGCCGGAAATAGTCTAGATTCGGTGGTGGCTATTAAAGAATGGCTTCTGTCAAATTTTGAAATGAAAGATATGGGTGAAGCAGAGTATATACTTGGAGTTAAGATCCAAAAAATCGCTCAAAATGAATCCTCTCTCTTTCACAAGAGAATTACATCAACAAGATTCTTGAGTGATTCAACATGAAAGACTGCAATCCCATAAGTACCCCAGTTGCTACTAAAGTGGCCCTAAGTCCTGACATGTGTTCTAAAACCGAGTCTGACAAAAAAAAGATGGAAAGAGTTCTATATGCCAGTGTTGTTGGTAGTCTGATGTACACAATGATGTGTACAAGACCAGACATCAGTTATGCATGGGACTGGTAAGTAGATTCCAGTTAACCCCGGTGAAAAGCATTGGAAATTACTGAAGAGGATCTTGAGATAATTGAAAGGCACTTCTAATTATGCACTGTGCTACGAAGGAAGCAACCTGTGCCTTGTTGGGTACTCCAATGTTGATGTGGGCAGAGATGAAGAAGAACGAAGGTCAACTTCAGGTTATACCTTCTTGCTCAATAATGGCGCCATATGTTGGAGTAGCAAGAAGCAAAAATGCATTGCCTTACATTCAATGGAAGCTGAGTTTGTGGCATGCACCGCAGCAGTGCAAGAGGCTATATGGCTGAAGAGATTTATAGAACACCTTGGATTTGGAAACAAGAGTACCAATCTGTTGATGGTATACTGTGACAATACTGCAACCATAGCCTATACTAAAGATCCTAAGTATCACAGCAAAACCAAGCACATTGACATCAAGTATAATTTTGTTAGAGATTATATAGCACAAAAGATTGTTACTGTACAATACATTTCAACCAAATGTATGGTAGCAGATCCTTTGACAAAGCCAATAGGCGAAAAAGTTTTTAGAGAACATGTGCAAGCTCTTGGCATATGTAAAGTGTAAGTTGTAAACCTCATTAATGAAATTATATTTTTCTGTTATCACTTTATGTGTCTGTCCGAAAGTATACAATGCCTAGTATGTCGTACAGGTCAAAAAGGTTGGCACTCTCACACAGGCAACCGCCTTTGACACTCAGGTGGAGTGAACAAAGATGAGACATTTGTGTTCACCAATAAGGCAGTAATGAATGCTGATATGGTAGGGAAGAAACACAAACTTTATGTCGCCTTGCCTAAAGTGTAGCAAGTCAAGATGAGATCCATGTTGATAAAGTTGGATTGAAGTTTGGAATCCTACTTCCATAATACCTGTAGCCAGATAACAAACTCTTCAACATCGACATCATAACAATGAGCAGAGTTGAAGAATTTGGGTTTAGATACTAAATGTGTCTAGACTTAAGTCTGTATGGAGTTAATGATAAGTCCAAAATGACATACGCTCTTATAGTAAAAGAGTAACACCGTAGCATGTGTTTCATACCACATGTGCTTGGAGAACCGCAAAAGGGAAGCAAGTGAAAGATCCCTGCTTCATTACTGTGTGAGTCCCAGGGAGGAATTATCCTCCTGTTGGTGTCCTTTGACTTTGACAATATCACGAAGATATGTTTCAGTGACTGCTACTTTGGCATATGTCCTATGGTCATGATTGATGCGATCTAAGGTAGTATGCTAAGAAAGTGACTGATTCATCTCAAAATGATATTTGGGTGAAAGGAAGATTGACTGTGATATACACACCTATGCTAGTGTCTGTGACATGTCCCTTATGACATTTTGTGGTCATAAGTGTGCACACTAGGCATACGAGACAGGTAATTTGAGTCAACCATTGACTCGAGAGGGATTAGATTTACCGTGAAAAGGTGTATATAAGTAAATCTAGGACATCTGAGGCATAATTTTAAAATTCAAGCTGCACGAAAGAGAGGGTGACCTGTGTTGATCCTATAAAAGGATTTCTAGTACAAGGACTCGAGCAAAGACGTCATGCCCGTGCATTCACGGCAAAGCACTGAATATGAAATTATGGGGAGACAAAGAGACTAGACCCGTGACATCTAATCCACCAAGTGTGAGTAGGAGATGTAAGAAAATTGGAACCAAATTCATTAAGCTTTGGGGTTCTGATGTAATAACAAAACATATGGGTCTCTGACTGCAATTTTTACCTTTTTATATAATTTGCAAAAAGGAGGGAACGGTTGGACGAAGGAGGCAGTTTTTATTTCAAAAAATGTGCAGTTAATAAACTAAACAACTGAAAAGGGATTAGAATAAGTGAACCCGATTTTTGTTCTTCAAACTCTCTCCTTCGTCCTCTGTTCTTCCTCTCCCTCCGGTGTATTTGCTGTGAGTATAAAGTCTAACTCCATTATTGTGAACGGACTTCCGCACGTGGCTATCTGAATCTAAGATTATCTTACACTTCAGGTACACTCAAAATCCTTCACCTTAGTTGTGGTTTCGCTAGATAGTAGACAGGGATAGTAGGAATCTCATTAATCCATTCATGCACATCACTAATTAGATGACGAGACATTTGGCTATCTTAAGAGAGTCATAGTTACTCTAGCTGTTTACCCACGCGTGGTTGAATTTCTTCACTTTGACATTCAGAGCACTAGGCATAAATCACATTAAGTCAACATCTATAGGGACCATCACAATGCATTGTTTTAATTAAACAGTCAGATTCCCCTTGCCCATACCAGTTCTAAGTCAACTATTTGATACCCAGGGAAAGGACTCTAAAGGACTCGTTCCTAGTCCATCCCTTGACTGGTACACTGCAAACTACCCTTACAACTGGAGCAATTCGAGCAGTCCACTGACAGCCGACGGGTTCAGTAATGGGACCCCGTGCCCAGCCCTCAGAGCCAATCCTTTTCTCAAGGTTACTAATTTATTTTGTTGACTTGCCTTGCCTACATTGTTCCATCACTGTGGGCCTCTACCAGAATTTCCTCTAGCTTCGCCACGCTCAGGCATAATTCACCATCTTTCAGATCCTGACAGTTATATTCTCACTCGAACCCTTCATAGAAGATCAAGGTCGGTCGGTAGTGTAACCCATGAGGGGATCCCACTAATTAGGTTCCTTGCACCTTACGGGTTTACTCACCTATTAACTCACACACATGTCAAACTCCTTGGGCCGTGTTTCAAGATGGGATGAATAGGGAGCTCACAGGCCAACACCAATAGCGCGCAGGTGCTAGGGCATGTCATGATGGCACATGTTGCCATCCATAATCAAACCAATGATATATCCACGAGCATTCCCACGGGCTGGGCTTAGGCCGCTGCTACAATCCATATTAGTCCAACATCCCGAGTCGATCGGCGGACCAACAGATATTGTTCCCCATCTGACTGGGACACATCGCTAGCCCCTATCTAACTGGGACACATCGCTAGCCCCCATCTGCTTTCCTCCTAAGAATTTCAAGCACTTTTTGACTCTCTTTTTAAAGTCCTTTTCATCTTTACCTCGCAGTACTTGTTCGCTATCTGTCTCTCACCAGTATTTAGCCTTGGACGGAATTTACCACTCGATTGGGGCTACATTCCTAAATAACCTGATTCACCGATAGCGTCTTGTGGTGCAACAAGGTCCAGGCATGACGGGGCTCTCACCCTCTCTAGAGCCCCCTTTCAGGGGACTTGGGCCTGGTCTGCAGGTAAGGATGCTTCCCCAGACTACAATTTGGAAGCCGAGGGCGACCAATTCTCATGGCAGGCTATTCTTAGTTCGCTCTCTATTACTAAGGGAATCCTTGTTCGTTTCTTTTTCTCTGCTTATTGATATGGTTAAACTCAGCGAGTAACCCTGCCTGACCTGGGGTCACGTACATATCCTGGGCTTTTCCCCCTGTCAAGGGAGCTCTCATCGTGAGACCCTTTTTTTGTAAGACGACGAGCGAATGTTCGGTCTCTCAAGCACATCTCATTCACTCATCCACCATGGATAGTGGTCGCCGTCACTTCGAGCCTTTTATTCGGCTGGCCATGAGTCAAGGCTCTTAGGAGGCCATCATCCATTGTGCTCGTGATAGGGGCGCTAGCGACTTTGCTTGATACCCTGGCAGACGTGCCCTAGGCCTAGTGGCTTTAGGTACAACTTACGTTCAAAGACGCAATGGTTCAAGGGATTTTGCAATTCACACCAAGTATCACATTTTGCTACATTCTTCATCGATATGAGAGCTGAGATATCCATTACAGAGAGTCATTTTAGATGCAAATAGCATGATACGCAACGCTGGCCGACATCGATGCAAGGGCGACCAACAGCGCGCTTTGCTTGGTTGCAGTTCCTTGATGCCTGTGGAGCGGGGGTTTTGGTTGTTAGAGCCAGGGCTAGGTCTTACGCCGACACATAGGACCTGCCCCCAGCGTGCACAAGTAGAGACTTCAGGTGCCGTGACACCTTCATCCTTCTACCCTCGCTCAAGACTTTTATCAACTGGTTCACGGGTCGTGCTTTTGCTTTGGCATCGATAATGATCCTTCTGCAGGTTCACCTATGGAAACCTTGTTACAACTTCACCTTTCTCTAAATGATAAGGTTAAGTGGACTTCTCATAACGTCGCCAGTATCGAACCGCCTATGTCGCCAATATCTGAACACTTCACCAGACCATTCAATCAGTAGGAGCAACAGGCAATGTGTACAAAGGGTAGGGACGTAGTCAATGGGAGCTAGAATTCCTCATTGAAGATCAATAATTACAATGATCTATCCCCATCATGATGAAATTTCAAAGATTACCCGAGCCTGTTAGCCAAGGCTATAGACTCATTGAATATATCAGTGTAGCGCATGTGTGGCCCAGAACATCTAAGGGCATCACAAACCTGTTATTGCCTCAAACTTCCTTGGCCTGAACGACCATAGTCCCTCTAAGAAGCTAGTCACAGAGGGTTGCCTTTGCATAACTAGTTAGTAGGCTAAGGTCTCGTTCATTAACAGAATTAACCAGACAAATCGCTTCACCAACTAAGAATGGCCATGCACTACCACCTATAGAATCAAGAAAGATCTCTTAGTCTGTCAATCCTTACTATGTCTGGACTTGGTAAGTTTCCCTGTGGTAAGTCAAATTAAGCCGCAGGCTCCACTCCTGGTAGTGCCCTTTCGTCAATTCACTAAAGTTTCAGCCTTACGACTATAGTCCCTCTGGAACCCAAAAACTTTGATTTCTCATAAGGTGCCAGCAGAGTCCTATAAGCAACATCCGCTGATCCCTAGTCGACATCATTTATGGTTGAGACTAGGATAGTATCTGATCGTCTTTGAGCCCTCAGCTTTTGTTCTTGATTAATGAAAACATCCTTGGCAAACGCTTTCACAGTTGTTCGTCTTTCATAAATCCAAGAATTTCACCTCTGACTATGAAATACGAATACCCCCGATTGTCCTTGTTAATTATTACTTCGATCCCGAGGGCCAACACAATAGGATCAAAATCCTATAATGTTATCCTATGCTAATGTATCCAAAGTATAGGCTTGCTTTAAGTATCACATCCTGAATTTTAGATCTAGAAGTACTGAAATTAGACTAAAATGGGTAGGCTACCAGACTTTTTTTAGCAGAGGTCCTAGTGACTCCTTGGAGGGACAAAGGGATTCTTAGGGACTAAATTGCAAAGAAAAGATTCCTAGGCCAAGTAGGGACCTAATTGTAAATAATAAAAGTTCTATTCGACCAATGTTCAAAGTTATCGAAAATGGCCCAAATGTTTCAGAAAAATTCTAGAAAAATGGGAATAGGATCCCAGAGTCCATATAAGGCTAGAAATGATGAAAATACCCTCAAGTCATTCTAGGGTTTTGAGCAATTTAAGATAGTATCTTAAATTGAATTATTTAAGGTATGAGACAGCCTTGAATTATCAGGAAAAATTGGGGAATAGTAGTTAAGGAATTTACACAGATTGTAAAATTAATTCCGTCCCCAGAAAGTAACGAGGTTAGCTTTAATTAAACTTAAAGCTTATTTATACCCTATCCAGGGAAAGTCAAAACAGCGGTCTAAGGTTTAACTTTTGACTTAAGAAAAATTAGATAAATTCCCTGTGATGATAGCGAAAGAATGAAACCCAGAGACAAATTGACAAAGTTATGAGCCAGTAGAACAAAATTCGGTAAAATCGACTCCAATTAAATATTATTTAATTAATTATGTGTAACATCCAAACTTTTGGGCCTAGAAGTACCAGAAATAGCCTGGATTGAATAGGCTACTAGACCTCTTTTGAGCAGAAGTCCCAAAGATGAGGAAAGAAGGCAAAGCAGTTTCAGGGACTAAACTGCAAAGTAAAAGTTTTAAGGGGCTAAAGTGTAATCAAAGTTAGATGCTCCAGTAAAGTCTCGAAGGCCCAGAGAGAGAAAAGAGACTAGATATAGGCGAAAGGTTAAGCTAGAAGCCTCAAAGAGAGGATTATATGAAGCTAAGTCCAAGCAGGGACTAAATCGTAAATTCAGAAAGTTATGACCAACAGGGATAAAATGGAAGAGTACACAGAAAATTCCAAAAAAATCCCAAAAAATGGGAAATAATATTCTAAGGCTTTTCTGGTAAGAGAAAAGATGAAAATACCCCTGAGGTAGCTTTAATGGAATTTATGAGGTTATTACCGGTATAGAGTATGCCATTTGAGGTAATTATTTAAAATAGCAAGAGACCTCAAAAATATATACAAAAATGAGATTAAATGGTTGAAATGTTGTACTAATTTATAAAATTAGTCCCGCAACCAAAAGGCCAGTGGAGTGGCTTTAATAAATTAAAGAGCCGGTTTTGCCGATAAAAGGGTATTTTGGTAAATGAATTTTTATGCAAGGTTTAAAGGAAGTGTTATGAACTAAGAAAATTCATAGATATTCTCTAAAATTAAAGGGAATTTATGGAGTAGATAGAAGAATTTTCTGAGCTCCAGAAGGCCATAAAGAAAGCCGAAGAAACGTGGGCCAAGTAAATTCGAAGGAATCAAGTTTAATCCAACGGCTAGGATCTAATCTCCCTTCTCCTCCACCACTTTTATGACACTTGGCATCTTCTAGAAGGTTGAGGTAAGAATGGTGTAAGAGGATGATGCAAGGATGATGTAAAAGTCAACTTAGAGTTCTAAAATTACCCTTACCCTTTCTATTAGCGACCAAGGACATTTTGGTCCATTCAAGCCAAATTTTTACCTATAAATAGGCACTCCCTCCCCTTCATTTTTGGCCAAGCAAGGATCTATAGGAGAAACTCTACCACTCTTGCATCTAGAGAGAGAAAGAGCTATTTCTAGTGAGAGAAAGTCCACCTAAGTTCAAGCTTCAAGATCAAGGTGTGTGGTGGCTGTAGCATCTGATTTGATGCCCATTTCGAATTAGTTACTGTTCATATCTGATTTTGATATTTTTCACAATTAAATTACACTCTATGAGCTTTAAATCCATGGGTAGAACACTTCATTTGGATATGTGTATGATTTATGGTGATTTTTCAAACTTAGGGTTTGAAATCTGGAAACAGTGTTGAACTTTTGGAAGAGTTTTGATTTCCGTACAATTTCGGTACTGTTCGGCGTAGAATTAGTTCCTGCTACTATTTTTATTTTAAATTTAGCTTAATGATATTTCAGTGAGACTTGGAACCACTCAATTTTGAGTTTTCTAGAATTAATTATGAATTTTCAAAATTGAGCAAAAATTCAGGAGTTTCTGGGTGAACAGTACCCGCGAAGCATAATTTCCAGATTTGATCTTTTTGAATCTAAGGCCATCTAAAGTGGTCCTAATTGACAAGAAATGGATCATAAGGATGGGAAATGATGAGATTTATGTTAGAAAAGCTAGAAAGAAAACCCTAAGACTAAGAGAAAGGGTTGAGGTTCAAGAGAGATAGTCTTGAACTTTATATAATCTAGTGCTCCTAATGAATTGTATGATCATTATGGTTATGTTTAGGACCTTTGGAACATCCAAGAGGACATTTGATGATGTTCATCCAATGCCCACGAGTTTGGAAAGTCAAGGGAGTCAAAGGAAAAGTAAGAGGAAAGCTTGAGGTGCAAGGTAGTGAACTTACCTATTGTCATTGCTTGATGTTGTATGCTTGTGTGTTGCTGTGTACATGTTATTTGAATGTTATTGTGACATGTTTTACCTACTGTAATTGCTATTCACGATGAGTAGATCATGTCTCCATGGCCATGCATCAAGAAGTTAGCTTTGAGCATGCTAATATGTCACTAATTAACAAGAGAATAAACAAGTTACGTATAGTGCATTAGCATCCATCTAGTAGGATTATGTGGTATTGTTTGCTACTGAGATTCCCCCGAATCTCACCCCTCCCTAACCAACCATATAGGTCAATCAATGATGGGCAATAATGGCATGAGAAGCAAGGAGAAGAAAGTGGAGAATTGTTCATGTTAATGAATGATATTATTATTGAATGTGTAATTCTCCTATTATGTAATTTATGTTATGGATGCTTATGATACCATATAATTAATTATAATATTTATGGCATGAATGAAAGTGTATGAGCATGAATGGGAAAGAGTAAGCCCATGGTATGTATGCCAAAGAAATAAAAAGAATTAAAGTAAAGAGATGTTAAGGGATAAAACGTAGGTCTTGGAGCAGTGAGTTTGTAGCACCAATTTGACCTATCAAATGAATGAGTTAAGTCACAAAATTCGGCAAACTTATAGTACACGTCCCAAGGTTTCAAATGAGAGGTAGATAATCTCAATTGGATGTGTACACAAGGAGATATGAATTTCCAAAGTTGAAGCACAGAATCTGGATGTTTCAGATTTTTGAAATGAATAGTAATATCTATTGATTTAACTGTACGAATTGGGCAAGGATAAGTCCCATTGGATATTTTTTCCCTTAAAGAGAATCAAGATAGCTTTCAGTAGAATTTTAGATCACCTCTATACGATTTAAATGGAATTAGTTATGAATTTTTGAAGTTGGCCCTGTAATATGGAAATTAAACAGTGAATAGTAACCCGAGTAGTTATGTTGGAATTTGAAATCCACGGGCTTGTGTTATGATCTGCTTGAACCATAACGCTTATGAATGTGTTCTCTGAGGGGTTAAAGGCAGGACATTTCACCTTACTGTCTCTTAACAATTTGGACAACATCAGGAGAGGACTTATATCATCATATTCTCATTATCCTTCGATATTCCATAATATCCTGTTAAGCTCGAG